CTGAAGGCTGGATTTTCAGGGTGAGTTTTGTTTGGAGCATTGGGCAGGTGTTGCCGTGCTGTGTGATGTAGGTGAGACGCGGTCACTCACATTTATTTATAATTGTCATTCTGCAGCGTAAAGCGAGTCACTGGGGTTTTTTAACTGTGCGTTTGGAAGTTCACAGAGTGCACCTGGCGGGTACCCTGGTTCATGGGGTGTCTTCAGAGGATCAGTCAGCCACATGGACAGTAGATTCAACACAAACAAATGGCTTTACTTCTGAAAAAATCCCGGAATCCCAGAGCTCAAGTCAGGAGGGAACATGCCCTCGCCCGCCCTCCCATGGCACTTCGCAGACCCTAGAGTGCGGCCAGAGACACTGACCGGCTTCATGCCTGGCTCGGGGGCTCGTGCTGTGACCACGACAGTCAAGCAAGCAAGCAGCTACAAGGAGGGGGAGGCGCCGGGGCAGCCGGGGTGAGACCCGGCACAGCTGTTGGGGGGAGCCGGTGCGGATCCCCGCCAGGAACAGGAGACAGGCGTCTCCCCATCCCCGCACTGCGGCGCCGGCCAAAGCTGGTGGAAGAGCCAGGTTCGTAGAAACTGACGTGATTTCCTCTGATTACGCTGATCCTGCCTTGGGAATCTTAAGTGTAATGAGCCTTCATCCGTTAAAGATGCGCAAAACCAGGCTGAGGCTTCTGTGGCCCCTCTTCGCTCCGCGCAGGGAGTGCTTGTGCCCAGAGCTCTTTCCTGTTCACCGGAATGTGCGCGGAATGGAGTGATGGTGACCATCTTCTGAGTGGTTGTCCAGCCGGTGGCACACTTCACCCTCCGTGGTCATACACGGTTTACTGCCGGCCAGGTGGTGGGGTGAGGGGGCTGGGGGTGACGGCGGGGTGGGTGCCCTGCCCGCATCCTCGGGCCTCGGCCTCCAGGCGGAGCAGGTGATGGGGAGACGGGTGCCCGTGACCTCAGACCCCCCCCCCAGCAGGCGCCTTATCTACCTTCCCGAAGCCCTGTTGAGACGTCTACTTTCAGTCACATTACTTCTCACCGCGAGAGCACCTAAACGTGCCAGGGCGAGCATACTAACGGTTTTTAAATGTGCTGCTGTCTAAACTGCTCTGGGCTGGGGGAGTCCGTTTGCAAAGGGGGTGGGCTTTTGCTGCCCACACAGCACTGCTTTGGGGATGTGACAGGGGTCTGCATACACAGCTGTGTTAAATGTCATGACTCCTTCCTTCTGCTAGGCGCTTTTCTCCTGAAATATTTCAGTTGAGGCTTTCAGCCGGAGGAGCGTCACTTTACCTGTGTAGAGTGTGTGGTTGTGAACTTCCAGTTTTAATTAGGAGTCACTGAATTAGATGCTCAGAAAGCGTCTTCCCTCCGCCTAGCAGCCAGCGTCCCACTGTTGTGCTGTTGGAATAACTTGCATCTGTCATTTTACGCGCGTCCCCTGTTGCGCAGCACAGTAATTACAAGGTGCCCTCTCTCACGCTGACGACCGCCACCTCAGAAAGTGTGGACGAGCAGTGCCGCCTTCACCGGGTTCCTGGTAAAGGAGACGTGCCTCCCTCATGCCCCGCTCAAACCCAAGCACGAAGCGGGCTCTAAGGTGACACCGGGCTCACCGCTGACATCCCACGTGTCGCTGTGGAATTGTGTGTGGGTGAAACCTTCCTGTTTTCTACATATTGGGAAATGCATTCTTAACAAGAATCTAAACATGGACTATTTTCAGTCTTTAATCAAGCCCTGGGTCCCGAGTGGACACTGGGACTGGACATGAAAGAACCAAGGCCAGTGGACATCAGACAAGTGAGCGGCTGCCTTACAGGAGAGCGAGACCCGCCCAGTGTGTTCCGGGGCTGGTCCCCGCCGCCCCGGGGTGACGGTGAGGACAGCTCTGTCGACCCCTCCCCTGGCACCGCTCTGTCCCCTGCGGACACCAGCAGGAGGGGAAGAGCCCATCCGTCCGATTTAATCCTCTTTGCTTCTCCAGGCTTTGTTCTCGTGTTTCGGTTTTGTTTCGGGTTTTTTCCTGCTTAGTCAGTCTTTGAACTAAATGTTACGATTAAGTTCTTTTAAGCCAGACCTCCTCTCTCAACACTAGCACGCTGCATTTGGACAGATAACCTAGTCAGAAAACCCAGCACTGCGCTCTTGTGTGTGTGTTTTCAATCCCTGTCCGGGGGCGGAAATAGACCAGGGAGTTGGCTGCTGGGAGGCCTGTCTCGGGGAAGGGCCTGCCACGTGGCTCTCAGACCCCAGGATGACTCGGCTGTGCCCCAGCGCCTTTTGGGGGAAACAGAAACAAGCCCTCACCTGGGGGCAGTTAACTCTGCCAGCAAGGGAGGCAGAAGACAGTGTCGGTGGTCCCTCCAGGACCCTGGACAGCACCCCACCTCTGCCAAGGCCCCCTCTCCCCAGCCCAGAGCCTGCAGTTTCCTCTGCAGTCACACATGTCCGCAGACAAGTCACTGTGCGGTGGCACTGCCCTGGGCGCCTCCCCCCTCGTTCTCAGCACCTGCCTCACCTGGCCTGTCCGTGCACAGTATCCTGGTATCTGGTCTCTGGTTTGCTCAATTCCAGGTACAAGAGAAACCTGCAGCGCTGATGGCCAGGTCTAGGCGCCGGACCCCAGGCTCCAGCCGCCTAAAATCCAGGCGGGTTTGCGTCAAGAAGGAGAGGAGCGGCTGGGTTTCCGGCCTCCACAGACGCGGGGACGTGGGGTCGTGGGGTCGTGCGGGTGAGGGCTGGAGGTGCCCTACCGCAGCCGACGCTTGACTTCCAGGCCTTGGGGTGGTGCTTCAGCTCATCTCTCTCCTGTGGTCTTGCCTCCGCAGATGGACCACGACCCGAGGAAGCCCGCGTACATCGCCACCCAAGGACCGCTGCCCGCGACTGTCGCTGACTTCTGGCAGGTGAGCCTGTTTTTAATTAAATTTCTTTTCTGAAAGTAAGATCTTAGTAAGTTGATGATGAATAACGCTTGGATTCAGTTAAGCCAATTCAAACTTGTGTTCCCAGGTGTTCATCAAATGCTACTTGATTCCAGCATTTATATGAAGCTTTTAACATTTTCTGTTATCAGTCTTTGTTTTCCGTAACACAATGTGAGAAGGTCCCTTTGGGAGATTTAGTTAAAGACTCTCACTTTGTTTTTTAGCAACTTACACTTTCATTTTATGAAATATAAAGAAATGAAGTAGTAAATGTTCATTATAGTTCATTCAAATGTGTCTCTTATCTATGGTTTTAATCGTTTGAAGGTAGAAAGCTGGCTAAGTTACAGTCTCTCTTTGCGGATTCTCTGTAACGCATGTTAAAGGCCAGGCTGGTATCTCTTCACTCAGCAAAGCCCTGGACGCCCAGACGGGCTCAGGCGTTGAGAAGTAACGTCCGCACTGGCCAGTAAGAGGAGAAGCAGGAGGGCAAGTGGGTCCCTCACTTCCTCTCGGTCACCCACCGAGCAGCAGAGCGTGGTGGGAATGGCCTTGGGATGATGGCACCGGTGATGAGCGCCTGAGTTCATGTTCCTGCTCAGCAAGTGTAGCAACTTCCTACTGTGTGTCAGGGACGCCGCGTGTCCCCAGAACTGCTCCAAGGGCCCCTTGGCAGCTGAGGACAAGAGGAGGAGGTCGTGCCTTCTGGGTCCCGGAGCGCAGTGGTCGGACCAGGGCAGTGCGTTGGTCCACATAGCTGGGCTTCGGTCCCTGTGGTGACGCTGTGCTGCAGCCTGGCCGTTCACACAGGCAGGTAGACGGGCTGGCAGTAGGCAGAGCTGCATGTGCGCCACATCCCTGTTCCTGTGGACTTCCGATCCCTTTCCCAACTTTCCAGCCAACCCTCTCCTGACTCTTGACCCAGAGGAGGGTCAGTATTCCCTTCCACCTTCGGGAACAGTCCCTGCAGGCTCTTCTGGGAAATCAGAAGGGGCCCAGGGTTCGCCGAGTGTCCACCAGGGCGCTTTGCCTCAAAAGCGTATTAACCACTGGCGTCACCATCCCCATGAGACAAGCGAGCACCCACGAGAGCACCCCAGCCCGTGAGTCGGAAGCCGAGATCCAGACGCGTCTGCGTGGCCCTGCTCTGTCCTGGGCCTTCGCGCTGTGGGAGAGATACCAAACTGAGCCCCTGCGGCGGTGCCGTAGAGGCACGTGCTCTGGCGGCAGGTGGTCTGCGGAAGCGCTGGCCCCTCCCGCCTTGGGAGCTGTCTCCTCCGACAGCTTGGGCGCCTGGGTGGGGCTCCTCCAGGCACGGGTGCGCGGACCCGAGGGCCTGGGGACCGTGTCTCTCTAGGAGGTACTTCCTGACGTCAGGCAGAGCTGCCTTCCTGCGCCGGGAGCCCCGGTCCTGCTCTGCTCCTGGGGCGTCGTCGGAACTCCACGGAAGCGTGTGCCCACCCCCCAGGCTCCTGGTGCTCGGACAGACAGAACAAAGAAAACTGAGTTGTGGGGTGGAGCAAGAAATGCCCGCGGCACCGCAGCAGCACCGCGGCTGCCCTCCTCCTTGCCCAGGCTGTGCAGTCTACGTGTGGTGCGTGCGTGGTGCCCCAAAGGGGGGTTGTTTCGTTCTTACCAGCCCGTCAGCCCCAGTCATCACGTCCTGTGGGCAAAGCTGCTCTCACAGACAGAACCACGACTTTCTTCAGGACACATGGACACTTGGCATAATGATCGCTCACATCCAGCGACCCCTCACTCTGAGCCAGCCCTGTGTCCGGCTCCGCGTGTCCTGGCCCGTGGTCTGTGCAGCCAGCGAGGCTTGGAGGCGCGTAGCTCGCCCGGTTCGCGCAGCTGGTAAACGGGGGGCTGGTGCGGTTTCTTCCTGCCTGTTCGGAGCGCTTGCAGCTGTCGGGGGCAGCTTACGTGTCAGCGTCCGCGGTCCGCAGGACGCTCCGGAGCGCTCATGGAGGTCTGATGTCAGGAGCGTGCTTGCTTGAAATGGCATGAAAGCGTCTCCAGATGACACAAGCAGAGAAAACATGCAGGTGCGATGGCGTGCAGGATGCTCTGAGACGCACCCCAACGGGCATTTATCTGACTGTCCCAGGGGACACTGACGTCCCTCCAGGTGGTCACAGACTCTCCACACAAGAAGGGCTGTGGCCGATAGGTGACCCTCGGGGACATCAACAGGCACGTGAGCACACTGCAGCCTCTGAGGAGTCCTGTAGCAAAAGGTCCTGCCCCACTTGTCTCCTCCAACCGCCCTTGACCGAGACGGTGAGGTCTCCCGGGGACACGCGAGGAGGACCCGGTGACGAGATGTTGGCCTTGGCCGGAGGGCTGGTCCTGTCTGTGACATGCTTCTCAGCACAGCCACGCTTGTTGGCTCAGCTCTGAACTCCGTTGTTTCAGACGTGGGCATCGACTCAGCATAGCCCTGTATCAGTACCTGCCCGTAAGCCACAGGCTCGACGCTTGGAAGTCCACTGGCCACTGCGGCCCAGCAGAATGCCTGCAGAGGAAGCACTGCCTGTCTTTACGGCTTCCTGCAGAAGGCGGGGCCGTTCAAAGGCCACTGTCAAGGGTAAGTGCTTTTAAGAATAAAGCCTGATTGGAAACATAAAAATTCCGGGCTGTCCAGGAATATCAGCTCTCACCTTATTGTCTGGATTTATGGCCTTTAATGAGTTTTGACCGAGGAACTCAGCACATGTTACGGAAAACATCGAAGCGTCTCCGTGTGCCGCCCTGAAGCCCTCCCTGGGAGGCGCTCACGGGTGTTTACGCAGGAACGGTCGCTGTGAGGCAAGCAGATGTAAACAGTGGCATCCCAGCTCCCAGGCACAGAGGAGCCCAGGCTGGGAGCTGGAGATGGCAGAGAGGACCCTCTCACCCTGTTTTCAAATACGGTCCCAGGTTCCAGGTGGCCGTGGATCTGGGGGGACGTCGTTCCACCCAGTACGACGGCCAAGAGGAAAACAGGCGTGGAGCCCCAGTGTGGTGCTGTTGCTGCAGGACCAGTGGACACCGCACAGATGGACGGATGGGCGGAGGAGGGGCAGCAGAGGCACGGAGAGGCCCGAGGCCATCAGCAAGGGGGACGCGAGGTGGGCCCGGCAGGCTCAGGGCGACATCCAGAGGAGGGGCAGGGAGGCTCTGTCTTCACAGGGACGAGGCTCTGTCTTCACGGGGACACGGCCCTTCTAGAACATTCCATCATAGGTGTGCCAGCAGTGCCAGCCCTTCCACCCTCAGCTCGGTCACCATGATCTGGGGTCTCCAGCCCCAGCCGCACCCCTCACTCCCTACTCCCCTCCTCTGCCTGACCCAGCACTGCTCACCACCTGCGATTAGAGTGCTTTCTCTAAATTCACATCGTGGGTTGTAAGAATTTGATTCCAAAGTCAAACACGTGCTGGACGACCTTCCCATAGAAATGTGTTCTGCTCTGTGAGGACGGTGGGTCTGCCCCGGCCGACAGGGCTGCAGAGGGAAGCAGACGCGCCCTGGGGGAGGAATGCAGCAGGAAGATGCCATTTACGGAGCACCTTCCATCTGTGAGTGCACGTGACGCCCCGACGACCAGGCCGAGGACGTCACGGTGCGGTATGTGACACACAGACACTGTGGTGCGGTCCCACAGGGACAGGGGTGGTGGGGGCTGGGGCTGGGGAGCTGGTGACGGGGCCAGTCTCAGTCTGGAACGATGAGAAGGTCCTGGAGACGGTGGCGGAGAAGGCTGCACAGCAGTGTGAAAGCGCCCGGTGCCCTCGAACTGTGCACTTAAAAGCCGGCTAGGAGGGTGTTTTCACGCTGTGTGTATTTTAGTAGAATAAAGCAAAGTGTAATCCCAGTCCCAGCAGAAGCTGAGGCCCCGGGAGCCCAGCAGCTCGCCTAGCAGCTCGCCCAGCCCACGTCCGGC